TGATTTAAGAGTATATTTTGCCTATACACTTTTGTGAGTGACGAGTGCCTTTGTTAAAAGTTCTAGGGAGGATTGTTAAAATTCAGTATATTTTGACTTTGGGGAACTTGTTGAGATAATAGGGTGTCTGTGCTGATATAAACTGCGCAGAATCTTGATACCTTAATTATGTTTCTGAGTTTGGATATGCCTGAGGACAAGCATAGTTTAGGTGTGAGAGAAATTGATAAGTTGCATTTTTATTATTAATTTTATGATTATTTCTTATTTCATTTTACCAAATATTGTGTTAATTGGTGAATTCTACTTATTTTTGGTAATTATCGTTGGTTGTAGGGATTTGAATAAAAAGAAATTAAAAGGCATGATTTCTTCACTAAAGTTACTGTTCAGCGTGGTCATGTCAAAATTAGAACTCTGTACATCCTAAAAAGTTCAGGAGTTGGATCGTGAATTCCAGCCGTGAGTTGAAGTCACAAGAGTTAGATTTCGCACCGCATGGACAATATTTCATTTCTAATGGGATGCTATTCTATTTTACAAAGACTTTTCTTTTTTTGTTCAGATAGGATTTGGTTTGTTGGGATAATTTGAATTTACTTAGTAGTAGTAGTTTTAGTAAGAATAGGAAACAAAACACGGGAGAAGAGTATGGACTTTGACTCTTTCTTTTCGGCCTCGAGAGACGTGACTAGTGAGAAGGATAGGTATCTTTTCTTTGTTGGCTACAAGAAACATTGGGACATTCCTTTTCTTTTATTTGGAATCAGATATTTTCATCTCAAACATTGATTCTACAATTTTACCTGAGATTTCTTCAACGGAGATAAACAAATTTTCTATTTCTAGTCAAGAAGCAACGGAGGATTTGGTTCATCCAAAATTGTGAGATTGAATTGGTTTTATTTATTCCTTTTACTTTTTGGTATTCATATATTCTCTGATTTAATTTTTTATGGTTATTATGTTATTTGAATATCAAGGGACCGATATTTAATTTAATCTAATAACCTAAAATCAGTTAGAGCAGTTAAATCTATAATTGTTTAATTACTTTAAATTAGTGTTGACTGGCATAATTGGATTTGTGTAAGGAGAATATATGGGCAAATTTAAAATAACTCTTGTAGCGTGTTATTTGATTAGAACAAGGCTTCTCTAATTCGTAAGGCAATTGGAAAATTGAACTCTAAAGTCGTACTTAGAGTTATTTCTGAATTTGGACAGTGATTAATGATCGTACCTTGATCACCAATATAGGAAGGAGAAGTTGATTGTCATCGCTTGTTTAGCAGTTATAACCTATTTATCAGTTAATAAATGATATTATCTTTGTATTGATGATTAATTAAGTGAACCATTTCCGAAGTTATTTCTTGGCTATAGTTATTTATTATTGATTCCATTTTAATAAATTGTCATTTAGTTTTCATTTGCTTATTTTATTGTATTTGATAGTTTTATTATTTCTATTTTTATAAAAAAAATCCCCCAAATAATCTGAACTTTCGAAGAGACGAATTTTCCCTAGTCCTCGAGGATTCAATCCTGCTCACCCTATATATAAAAATTGTATTTTTCTCGAGTAGATATTTATTATTGTACAGGCTCGACACCTGTCACTATATTCTGATTTTCATCTCTTTCTCTCTCCCCCCATCTCTCATTCTTTCATAATTTTCTCTCTTTTCTCCTATAACTGCTATTCTCTCTCACCAAATATCACACTCCATTGTTACCAACCACACCATTATCAATTTTTTACCATTTCCAAAATTTGTCTGTATTTTTTTTGTCTTCTTGTCTCTTTCTTACTATAAAAATTTTAGGCCCCTTCTTTTTTTTTCAATATTTTTACTCTTTATAAATGCAGCCAATTGAAGTTACCAAATTAACAAGGTGCAGACTGTGGATTTTATTGTCAAACTAGAGGAAGATAAAGAAGGTAACAGTGATATAGGGAAAAAATGAAATTGAGAGTTGGAAGATGAAGAAATTTGTAATCCCATAGGAAAACCCTAATTCGTAAGGAGATAGGTTTGGAAGAAATTTGGATGGAATTTGGGTAGGCTGGCCACAATTTGGGTGAATACCAAATTGATACGACACTCAATCCACTCAAGAACATGTTCAAAGTGAATCAAGATTTAGAATTAAGCAAGGAAATCCGCACAAGCTTAGAGAAAACCTCAAAGGTTTAATGTCATAAACTCAACTCCCTATTACAATAATGTTTAAACCCTTATATAGGTAAAAACCGTAACCTAAACCAAAATCTAAACTGGATTTAGATTGACTTCACTTATCTAATTAACTAAACTATTAGACTCAACTAAATTAACGGCCCATTAAGCTTAAGGCTTAACACGAGATTGGAATTTATTGACTAAACAATAACTAAATAAACAATTTAGTTTAATGCCAAATAATAACTAATTAAAATAGAAAAAATTCTAAAAATCACAATAACCTATGGTAATTTGACATGACCACATCTTACCTGATACTAGTCTTCTATTCAAAATGTTTTTGTGGGCAGTAACTTAATTTTCTTTTTCGAGCTAAGCCAACGTCTTCTAAGCTTCTTGCCTAAACCTCCTTACATTTGAATTAAATAAATGGAAGTTTAAAAGGCTCTATAATCAATTTAGCACAAGTTTTGATGTCCACATCAATTGGACACCATTGGCTTTAGAGAGTATGTCACGTTCAAGAAGTTAAAGAATAAAAGTTTGTTTTGTTTTGCCTTGTTCTCTAGAAGAAGGGTATTTTTAGGATATTTGTGAAAAAGTACATGCTATTGGGCCTTTATTGTTACATAAATCATAAAAACAAGAGAAGTAGATGTAATTTTTGAAATTTGAGGGCAGCTCCGTGCAATTGCTAGAAACCTCAAGAGAGGTTTCTGAATTTATCGCATTAATCTTTGCAATGCCCTGGGCATACATAGTACAAGAGTCATGCTAGTAGAAATTTAGAACAAATCCATGGATCCTTTTGTGTTTTGTCAAGAAAACTGTGCCTTAAGTAAGTCAATGACTTTATTGTCAAGCTACAATGCCTTAGTGAGAACATCCGAAGAAATGGGAGGATTTGATCCAAAGACTGCATTTGCAATAGTATTGACTCCTGGATTTTGGCTACTGAAACCAGCAAAGTCAATAGCATATCTTCCCAACATTAAATTGGAAGTGAATCGTACCTTTTTGGAACAAGAAAACATCTTTTGGATTCAACGTTTATGTAAAGAGGCGATTTTTTAGGTTATTTGGTGGATTTGAAGTGACAAAACCAACACTAAGAGTGCCCTCTAACACAAATAGGACGTCGATTGGACAAGGATGAGTGTGGGATAGGTTTAGGCCATAATGAGCGAAATCAAGATGAGCTAGCTAACTCCAAAAGTGTTGAGCCCAGCTAGATCGTTGACATTCACAGCAATAGCACTAGAACCTTGTCGATTTGCTGCATCTCCAGGTTTGTTCAGTTCCTGAAAGAAGAAATCATTGGTGTTCACAACCATCTGTTACTTACAAATCTTTCCGTTCACAAACGCTACGTTAAAAAAACTAGCTGTTAATAATGTAATAATGTGACAAAACAAATCCATATTGCTTTTTGCATGTCTTATTAGGTATCATGCACGATGTTGTGAATAATAATAATAATAATATGTCAAGGCAAACATGATAGGACACGAAAATTGTGCTTAGAAAACGAAAAATATTTTGCTACTGATAGGGTGTGGATTTTGGCAATGTTACACATATAAATTGTTGGTTAATTGTGCCTTTTCGTGCTTTAATTGGATGGGAACTTGCGTAACTTGGATAGATGTGGTTTTTGTAGGAAAAAGTGAGATCGAGGAGGAAAACGTGTTGATTTGATGCGAGTTGGTTTGGAAATTGCATGTGAAACTTGAACCAAAAGTGGAGGCTAGACTTAAGACCAAACTTGGAGATTTGCAGGAAAAAGGTAATGGAAACAAATATGCACCATGTGTCCGGTGACGGACTTGTCGTTCTCAGTGCCGAACTTGATCGGGAGATTTCACGGGGCTCATTTTCTTCAGCTTTAACATGCCTATTCCTTTCGGGATTCAACTGAAATTTTAGAAAACTATAAATAGGAGTACTTAAGAAGTTTTTAGGTGAGAAAACACTTATCTAAATATTAGCTCTAGGATTTTTCTTTGAGATTCAAGAATCAAAGAGGAGATCAAGCGCGGGTTTTAGAGTTTTGTCAATTGGAAGGTTTTACATGCTCTTTATTCTAAGTCTTATATTTTTTCAATAATGAATTCTTGTTCATTCTTAATATTATGATGAACTAATTTATATCTAGGAATAGGATTTTGTGAAGGAGTTTTGATTATTTATCCAAGTTAAATTCTTTACCTTTATTTTGATTTAATTGCATGTTTGTCACTACAACAAGAAAGGGCATTAGCGACAACAATTTTAGCATGAAATAGAAGGTTTGACGCTATTAAGAGGCATATAGCAAGAAAAAGAACAATGCCTCACCAAAAATTGGAGCCAGCCTACACCTAGCGAGGGCTACGACTTTTCTTGCCTAATAGCCTCACCAAAAGCAATGCGGGAAAGCTTCCCTCCAAATACTAATTGTAGTGGGCCAAAGTTTTTATGTTATTGGTGAGAAATGATGGGATTGCAGCTGGTGTACCCTCTTTTGGGAGGAGTTGTGGTCGCTGGCTTGTTTAAGTAACGGAGAGGATGTGGTGTTTTTCTTGCCAAAACCGAAAATTACCACCAAACAAGATCTTAATAGGATTTAAAACTAAAAAACCAAGAATATAAAAGTTGTCTGCAGGAGAGATAAAAGTCTCGACTTCCAAAAATTCCTTCTTTTTCCTTCTTAGTATCTATCAATTCTCTCTGCAACAATCTCTAACCAGGTATGCTTTTTCATCCTTTGTAAGATCAACTCTAGAAGTAGAAAAGTCTTTTCATTTTTTTTCAGAGGGTACTGGCTATTCATAGAGTGCAAGATTTGAACTGTAAACATCTTCATCTCATAGTTTCAAAGGAACAAAGACACAATTCAAAGTAACAAATGAGAAAATAACTCTGCTGCAAAAACATTTTTGTTTTTCTCTATAAAAATTTGACAAGGCCTAGAACTCTCAGGATTTCTTAGCATTCTCTACAGAACCATACATCTATCCAATCCTGGTTGATTTGCCACCATCAAAATGCGTCCTGGACTTGAAAACAAAGATGGCATTTGGGTCCTTGACATCATACATCCTAGCCAATTTCTCCTTCAACTCAGCCTTGGAAACATTAGGCCTTCCAGGATGCAGAACATCAATGACAAATCGTTTTCTGGAAAGAAGACGATTGGTCATGAACTTCCTAGTACGAATAGTCACCGCCTTGTCCGCCATTTTTTCTTGCCTCCGACGCCGCCACTGCTTCCGCTCTTTCTCCTCTGAATGGGCGGTTGGTTGGGGAAGCGACAGAAGGGGAACGTAAAAGGCTTTCTTACAATAATCAATGTCCATGAGGGTCTTGAATTTTATAGTAATAGATTGATGCCAAGTTAATCCCAGAGCAATCTTGCTGAGTTTTCTTGGCCATGATTGCATGTTCACTCTTTAAAAGATAGGGAGTGTAATTGATCAAATGGGGGAGCCAACAGCTTCAACGTCTTCAGTGTTAGAGAAATGGACAAATGCTGCTAGTCCTTTCAATGAATCAGTTGTGGCATTTTCATTAGCATATCTTGTGTGAAAAACAGGACTTCTTTTTCCTTTTTTTTCTCTCTCTCTCTCTCTCAACTTAATTAGAACATTTCTTTAGCTGTTTCACCACTGAGCTGGGTGAGGAATTGGTATGGTGCCATAACAGCACTGCTTTCTTGAAGTGAGATTGCTGCTCTGTTTTTCCTCTGTTTCTAGCCGTGTTTCCAACAACTTCTTTGGAACTCTCTAGTTTTTACAGCTTGTGTTTAAAAGGTGTAATGGTATGTGTTTTCCTTGCTCTATGTGGCAATTTGTCTTCTTGACAAAAGTCCTGTAATTCAATTCTAAAAATGCTTGCAGTTAATTTTTTGCTTGAATTTAGCTTATTAATATGTGATTTTTCTGGTGCAGGTTAACATTGCAAATTTGCAAGGTGGCTTGTTTGGGATGTAATAGGTGACAAGACCTTTTGGAAGCTCAAGTTTGTTTTAAACGGTGGTTATAAACTCTAGTTATTTTGGAAAGGCACAATTGCTGTTCATGTATTTTTGCAGTAATGACTTCAACTTTTGGTCATGCATAGGTGCTGAATTATGATTAAATGTCACACGTCCCTTTTTCCATCCTAGTTTGTGCTTATTGTTTTTTTTAGTTTCAATTTTGCATTTTATTGTTTTTTATTAATCCGTGTAATGAAAGTGGGAAAGTCTGACAATATGTAATACAATTGCCCAAGATTTTTGGAACTTGGAGATTCATATAGACCAAATACTTTAAATCAAGCGTATTTATGGGTTTTGAATTTTATATCTACCAGCCAAACAATGCAGGCATGGAAAAAGTGTTACACCGGGGGGGGCATTAGCTTTCACAACTCTGTCAAAGAACTTCAAATTTCATGAAATGGTTGTTATGTACTTCCTTTGTCCGTAGTTGTTATCATGTTTTTACTTTATTGATGTTCCAAAATAAGAGTCGCTATTTCAAATTAAATACATACTGTCCAATTTTGCCATTTGAAAAAGTTTTTTTTTTAATTTCGATACACTTCTATTAAAACAATATTTTGAATTCAAAGGATATATATGTAATTCATCAATGCCACCTCATTTAAATATAATGATTACCATATCTCCGTATAAATTTAGATTCCCAAAAAATGACTCTAATATTAAGATTGAGGGAGTACTTTAGAATCTTGTCACTTAACATGGAAACAAGGGGAAATGATATCACAAATAATATTGAAAAATTAATTAATCTATATATGACAAAATAGGAATATAGTTCAAAGTCACATTTATTATTTTGGTCTCAAAACAATAAAAATGGAGTTGTTTACAATGATTAATACTCAATGAAACTTCTAAAGTACTTTATTTCAATCAATTTTGTAATTAAGGAGAGATTAAGACTATTACACAAGACGTTTTTCTTAATAAATAAATTACATACTTTCGTAACAATTCAAGCATAAATTGATAGGCACTGTGAAGCGCTTGTTACATGAAATTCTTTTTATAAACTATGATTAAAATTTCTCATAAAAATATGAGTTTAGAAAAATAACACATATAGTTTAAAGTCACATTTGTTATGTTGGTATTAGAATAATAAAAATGGAGCGGTTTACAATTATTAATACTCAATGAAACTTCTAAAGTACATTATTTCAATCAATTTTGTATTTGACTAGAGATTAAGCCCATTACACTAGACTTTTTTCTTAATAAATGAATTACATACTTTTGTAACAATTCAAGAATAAATGGATAGGCATTGTGAACCACTTGTTACATGAAATTCCTTTTTATAAACTACGATTAAAATTTCATCATAGAAATATGAGTTTAGCAAAATAACACATATAGTTCAAAGCCACATTGTTATGTTGGCATTAGAATAATAAAAATGGAGTGGTTTACAATTATTAATACTCAATGAAATTTCTAAAGTACATTATTTCAATAAATTTTGTAATTGAGGAGAGGTTAAGCCTATTACACAAGACTTTTTTTTTTCTTAATAAAAGAATTACATACTTTTATAACAATTCAAAAAAATGGATAGGCAATATAAATCGCTTGTTACATGAAATTCTTTTTATAAATTATGATCAAAAGTTCATCATAGAAATATGAGTTTAGCAAAATAACACATAGTTCAAAGTCACAATGCAAATAGATTTAAAAGTTGAGGAACTGGAATTACAAGTAATTTACTATAATTTCATAGATTATAGTACATCCATACCAATTTTATTCTTTATCCTCGTATTTAAAACTTTAGAACAATTAAATTAAATCATCTAATTATTAACACTTATAAGTGTTTTATACAGTTTCTTGAAAAAAATACTCATATATGAAATACAAAAGATTTTTTGAATTATGCATATAGACATGTATTAGCACAAATATAATATAAATATTTATTGACTAGCACACTTGAAGGCATTCCTCTCATGCTATTTTTTTCGTAGTTAAGTTCTTTGAAGTTTAGCAAAAATATAAGAGTGAGGAATAATTTCACGAAATGGCAATTACATATCATACAACAAACCTCTATCAAGAAAATTAAATAACCTCCCTTGAGCTTTGACCAAATAACGAATTGATTCCTGAGATTTGGACAAATAACAGTCCACCCCTTTGAATAACCAGACATTTAACAATCACCCACCTGCTGTTAAGAGACGTTAGTGATTCTACTTGACATCAGGAAAAAGAAAACTTGGAATGACGAAATTGCCTTTATTGTATCCAACTGTCATCAAGATTAATAATAGTTCCGAAAATACCCTTTTCATTAAAAAAAAAATATATATACATATATAATATTGGGATTATAATTCTTTATCATTCACATCCCAATCACGTTTGACTTGCCTACCTTTATCTGTACAAAAAGAGAGAAGAAAAAGACTTCCCCATTTTTCCCCAAGTTTAACAAGCAAAAAGGTTCGATTTGTATACTTTATTCTTATAATGGAGGAAAGTCATAAAGAGTTGGTGTTTTATTGGAAAACGGGTTTATTTTTATTTTTTCCGATAAATAAATTTGTTTATGAAAAAATGGATACTCTGTTCTTATAATGAAGAAAAACCATAAAGAGTTGGTCTTTTATGGGAAAGTGATACTTTATAGAAAGTGACCGCGATTTGGATTATGAAATTACCCCAAACCAAAATTTAGAATGAATTTGTTTGTTTTGAAAGTTGTATAACGGTCGTTAAACTTCAACTATCCCTTCCTTAAACTTCAAAATCTACAAAGTCTCATATTTTTGTTAAATACAAAACCTACCAGTTTCCCTTCTATAAAAATACTAATGTAATACTTTTTCAATTTTAGTTACAAATATTTATGTATTTAACATAAATTAAATGATTCAGAATAAAATGCCCATAAAGAGCCAATACTTTACTCATCTAATGGATAAAAGCCATAAAGAATTAATAATACTTTATGGGCCATTTCTTTTTTTTTTTTAAATATTTAATTTATCTTAAATAGATAAATTGTACTCCCTCCGTCCCACTTTGATAGTCTTGTTTTCCTTTTTCGTCTGTCCCAAATTGTAGTCCACTTTCCCATTAACAAATGTAGTAATCTTTCAAATTGTCTAAAATCCCCTTATTAAATATCTTGTTATTAATACATTGTTATTAAATACTAACCCACTACATTGAATACATTGAGCTTTTCCAATACTAACCCATTAGCTGTAACTGATATTAATTGGCACTCTTCGTGATTAGCATAAGGGTATTTTAGGAAATTATTAATCTAAATTTATGTTTCCAACCAAATTAATTACACTTTCTTAATCTGTGTGAAAAAAAAATCAAGACTAACAAAACGGGACGGAGGGAGTAAGTACATATTGTTAAAGTGATAAAGTCGCTATCTGTATTGTTTCCCGCCTAAAGGCTAAAATTGTAAGTACATATTTCTATTTTTATGTCTTTAAAATTTGATGGAAATCAATAAGGGTTGTTCAGACTTTTGGCTATTTCTGTTCCATATAACTGACAAACTTAATGTGGCAGAGTAATTTGTTATTTGTCCAAATCTCAAGGATCGATTCGTTATTTGGTCAAACCTCAAGGGAGGTAAATGTAATGAACCCTTATTTGAATCAATTTTATAATTGAGGAGAGGTTAAGCCTATTACACAAGACTTTTTTTTCTTAATAAAAGAATTACATACTTTGTAACAATTCAAAAAAATGGATAGGCAATATAAATCGCTTGTTACATGAAATTCTTTTTTATAAATTATGATCAAAAGTTCATCATAGAAATATGAGTTTAGCAAAATAACACATAGTTCAAAGTCACAATACAAATAGATTTAAAAGTTGAGGAACTGGAATTACAAGTAATTTACTATAATTTCATAGATTATGGTACATCCATACCAATTTTATTCTTTATCCTCGTATTTAAAACTTTAGAACAATTAAATTAAATCATCTAATTATTAACACTTATAAGTGTTTTATACAGTTACTTGAAAAAAATACTCATATATGAAATACATAAGATTTCTTGAATTATGCATATGGACATGTATTAGCACAAATATAATATAAATATTTATTGACTAGCACACTTGAAGGCATTCCTCTCATGCTATTTTTTTGCGTAGTTAAGTTCTTTGAAGTTTAGCAAAAATATAAGAGTGAGGAATAATTTCAAGAAATGGCAATTAGATATCATACAACAAACCTCTATTTGAAAATTAAATGCAAATTTATCAAACTTAGTTAATTTGATTAGTTATATATTGAGAATATTTTCATTAGTTTCATTTTCTCATACATGATCTCTTTCAAATTTTATATACTTCTAACACTCAATATTCATTCTATATAATATACTCCAATTCTTAGAAACTTTTAACTACAACACTTAAAACATCATTAATGTTTCAGAATTTAGGACACGCGCGCTTTATTCCCTCCAAGAATTTTATTTTTCCCGCAACGTGCTTCCGGCAAAATTTGAAGGCTCATTACAGCTGAGGGATAATACTATCATATATATACATAGAAAGGCCGGTCCTCGC